TGTTGTTGTTGTTGTTGTTGTTGTTGTTTGCGAACAAAGTTCTCGCTCTGTCGGCCCAGGTGGTAGGATCCAGTGGTGCTCTCTGGTCCACTTGGCAAGCCTCCGCCCCCCCGGGTTCACGCATTCTCCTGCCTCAGCCTCCCGAGTAGCATGCGACTAACGGTGCCCATCACCGACGGCCCAGCTAATTTTTTTGTAATTTTTGGTAGAGACGGGGTTTCACCATTGGGCCCAGTGTGGTCTCAAAACTCCTGACCTCAGGTGATCTGCCACCTCAGCCTCCCAAAGTGCTGGGATTACAGGTGGACCACATGCGCCAGGGCCCAAATGCTCTGTGGTTCTGTCTAATTCTCAACAAACTGGCATGGGTTTGACGGGGAGGGAAGGGCATACTCCTTTCTTCCAGGCTTTCCCTGAAATGTGGATACATTACTTCCATTTGTGCTCTATTGGCCAGAGCACCATCCACTGCCATACCTAGTCCCAAGACAGGCTGGGAATTGAGGTCTTTTTTGGTGGCCCTGTGTCTTGCAAAAAACTGCAGGGTTCATTAAGAAGAAAAGATTGGAGAAACAATACTGGGGGGGAAACTAACAGCCTCTATCAAAGGCTCAGTGTCACTATCAATATTATGCTCAGCTGTGAGAGGCTGGACCAAGGTTGAGTGCCTGAGCCACAGCACCCTGTGTGGGCAGGACACCCCTGGGCAGGCCTGTAGCACTTGAGGTGGCCCAGCAGGAAACCCTGCCCTGTGGGGCTCTCTATAGCAGATGGTGGCAAACTGCAATGATGCACAAGAAAAGGAGTGTTTACTCCTTTTCCCCATGTTGCCCAGGCTGGTCTTGAACTCCCGGGCTCACTCCAGCACAGACTTTGTCCCTGTAGAGCTTCACCCTTCCCCATCCTGGAAGTAGGGAATCCCACCAACGGACAGATTTGAAGGAGACTCCTGCTCCTATCCCCAGGGTAAAGCCTTCGTGGTCTGCCCCCTCCTACCCATCCCGCCAGCCTTGGCTCCCCAGACTGTTCCGTGCTGCAGCCCTTCTCAGTTCTGCACACTTGATGAGCCTGGCTCTGGCCCGTTGTGCCCTGCTGCTGCTGCTCAGGGATACATACAATTGTACAGACCGTGCTAAGAACTTCACATGCATGATCTCTTTTACTTTTTGTCGCTGCCTCTCTGCTCATCTGTACTCCTCACTGGGCTGGAACTTTGAGAAATGGAGGCCCACATCTGTTGTGTTCACTGCTGTATTCCCAGTAAGCAGCACAGTGTGGCACCTTCACAGGTCCTCTGGCTCCAGATCGTTGGCACACAATAAGTGTTTCTTTTTCTAATTATTATTATTATTATTATTATTGAGAAGGAGTCTCACTGTGTTAGCCCAGGCTGGACTTCAGTGGTGCGATCTCAGTTCACTGCAACCTCTGCCTCCCGGATTCAAGCAATTCTCCTGCCTCAGCCTCCTGAGTAGCTGGGATTACAGGCACACCACCACAGCCAGCTAATTTTTATATTTTTAGTAGAAGCGGGGTTTCACCATGTTGTTCAGGCTGGTCTTGAACTCTTGACCTCAGGTGATCCATCTGCCTCAGCCTCCCAAAGTGCTGGGATTACAAGCGTGAGCCACCGCGCCCAGCCTGAGCTTAACTTTTATGTATGTAAATATTCATGTAACCAAATAGTACAGTTTTTAAAGTTACGTTTTCTAATTGGTGTTGCTGAAGATGGAAATGCAATTGATCTTGTAAATTGATTTTTTTCCTCTTACTGATCTTTTATCCATCAACCTTGCTAAACTCATTTATCAATTTTATCTGAATTTTACTTTAGGGTTGCTGTACATGCAATAATTTCATCTGCGAATATTAACATTATTGTTTTTTGTAATCCTTATATATTTGTTGCTTATTGCACTGGCTACAACTTCCATTGTTGTATTGATGAGGATTATTGAGAACAGGCATCCTTGCCTTGTTCCCCATCTTGAAAGGAATGCTTTCAACATTTCACCATTATGGTGAGATGTTTTGAGAAATTTTTGAAGATGTCCTTTATCAGCTTCTGGAGTTTTTTGTTTTTGTTTTTTTAAATCAATGGGTGTTGAATATTTTGAGTGGCTTTGCTGCATCAATTGGGATGAATAAATTTTCCCCCTTTCATCTGCTAATGGGTCTATATTTCTCCTAGTTTAACTTTTTCTTTTAATTTGATAAATATCTTTAGCTATATGTTTCTTCTCAGGTCTCCCTTCTCAGTTACTCCCTTTACCTTCCATTGTCGGTTTTCTCTAGTTTCTTCCTTTACCTTTCTTTTTACTGTGTTCTCTTCCAGCTCTTGCTTTTTGGAGTTTTCCCAGGATATCAAAGGTTGGGGGGATGGCAACATGGTTTTCAGACAGTGTGTCTCCCCACAATCTGCTTCTCTCCACAAGTTTGTTTGAAGCCAAGTTAAAGCAATGGATAGAAGACGGCAGCGTGGGTGCCAGACCTGCCAATTTCCAACTGCACACCAAACCCCGGAACATATGCTTTAGGCCCCTGCCTTTCGGCTTCATAAATAAAACCCTGTCCTGACTACCTCCAGGATTGGATGGAAACTCGGATGAGTAAATATGGTAGAACGACTTTGCAAACTAGCACCTTATTCACACATAAGGGGTTTCTCTTGTCACCGAGCCTGTTAGAGGCAACGTGAGTTAACAGAAATAGCTCGAATTTTGAAGCTAATGGAATCTAGATCCATTCCCAACCAGCGGTGTGACCTTATACTTACTATTTAACCTTTCTGAACCTGTCTCCATCCATCTATACAAAGAACGTGGCACAATGTAGGAACTCAGTGAATTTTTGAGATTATAAGAGGAGATAATACAGGTCTATAACCTGAAAAACATAAAATACTCCATAAATGGAAGCAGTAAATCTTCCCTGGGCTCGAGACTCCAAAGGCCCTGAGCCCAGCACCAGTAACAGCACCCAGGTAAGTAGGCTGACTGAGAGAAGAGGGCTATAAAAAAAAAATTATTTCCTGAGTTTTGAATCCTCACTGTCAGGCTTCAATGGAGCGCAAAAGTTCCTAAATTTGGTGAGAAAAGGCAACATCACCAGGGAATGAACAGACCAGGCCACTAACGTCCACGTGAGGGCTCCAGGAGCCACTTCCGGGCCCAGTCAACCACGACCAGGAGAGGCAGCGCTGGAGCCGCAATCACGTCGACGGAAAACGAGTGCGCTCCCTACTGCAGTCACCAGGAGGCGCTAGTCCAGCCTGTCTACCGGCAATGGTCCTTGTTTGCGCATGCGTGATTTCTTTCCTCCAGCATCCCCGCCCCTCCTCCTCCGGCCGCCACCAGTTACGTTCGGCCAGTTGCGTTCGTGCGGCGACGTCCACGCATTTTTTGACGTAGCGAGCGACGGCGGGGAGCGGAGCGGAAGTCCAGCACGGTTGCCGCTAGAGGAGGGAGGGGTGAGAAGCGTAAGTGGGCCCGGAAGTGGAATTAATCCGCTTACCTCTCCGGCGCCTGCGAAACAGAAAAGAGAAGGCGCCTGTCGGGCGGGGTGTGGCTTCGGGTGGCGGAGGACGCTGCGATTGGCCCTCGGCTGTGGCGACAGCGACGATTGGTCCCTGCGTGCAGAGCGCGGTGAGAGCGGGTGGCGGCCGTTGGAATTCAAAAGTGGCGGGTGTGGCGCGGGGCTGGTAGCGGCCGGAGCCGCGCGAGTTCTCTACCCTGCTTCGCGAGCGGGCGAGAGAACGCGAGTCCCAGGATCCCTGGAACCCAGTTCTCTTTCACTGCATTCCCCCGGCGCGTGTGGGACCGAGGTGGACATGGATCCGCAGGTGAGTAGGGGGCGGCGCAGGTGTCCTGTCCTGGGGATGGGGACGACGGCTGGCCGCCCCGATGCTGTCGCGCCCCCGGCTCCCGGCCGGCCTTTGTCATGTCTACCGGGAGAGCGAAGGTCCGTGCGGCCCCGCACAAGTGGAAAGGGGCGGAGGCAGGAGTGGAGACGGCAGAGTGCACCCGGGGAGGTCGGAAGGGACGTCTGTCTGTCTTCCCCCAGCTTCAAGTCTCGGGGGCCCCTCCCTTTCATGTCTCCGAGATTTCCCCTTTCGAATTCTCAGGCTCCTCTGACACATTTCCACTTCTTTATTCCTACTCAGGGTGTGATTGCAGTGTGTAAGAAGGGAGAGTTCTGATATGACTTCTTCCTTTGGGGACATGGTGTCTGAGGCCACATCCTTGCTAAGATCCTTTTGTGTTATCGCCTCTCCTCATCACTGCTGCTTCAGAGTGTAGGAAAGGGAGAAGGAGAGTAGGGTAATCTGGGCCGAAAGACTCATTCTCTCTCTCCCAAATTTTGCAGATTGCTGCCCAATGAAACTGATTGATTTAGTTCTTTCTCTTAAATGGTGCCCTGCTGCACCCCACAACCATATGCAGCTTCCTCTCTCCAGTGAAGAGAGATGAATGTGTATGACAGCTGGAGTGTACTGATTTCTGGTGCCAGGAAAGGTCTCCTGCCTGAATCTTTTGTTTACTAGTATTTCACGTTCAGGTTTCCCTAAAGTTAGGATTCCCTTAAGAGAGATTCTTTCTGGGCCGGGCGCGGTGGCTCAAGCCTGTAATCCCAGCACTTTGGGAGGCCGAGACGGGCGGATCACGAGGTCAGGAGATCGAGACCATCCTGGCTAACACGGTGAAACCCCGTCTCTACTAAAAAATACAAAAAAACTAGCCGGGCGAGGTGGCGGGCGCCTGTAGTCCCAGCTACTCGGGAGGCTGAGGCAGGGAGCTGAGATCCAGCCACTGCACTCCAGCCCGGGCGACAGAGCGAGACTCCGTCTCAAAAAAAAATAAAAAAATAAAGAGAGATTCTTTGTGTCGTGATAACCAGAGAGCAGAGTAGTATGATATGACAGTGAGAAGTAGTAAAAGCCTTCTCAGATCTACTCATCAAGTATTTACTGAGCACCTACTACATGCCAGGCGCGGTTGTAGGTACTTACTTAGGATGCAGCAGTGAACAAGGGACAAATCGCTGCCATCATGGAGCTGCCATTCTATGGGGATACAGACAACAAATGTAATAAATGAATTATATAACTGCTGGAAGGCCATAAATGCTGTGGAGAAAAGGAGAAATTCAAGGTTAAGGGAGCAGGAGAAGCCAACTGGCGGGATAGAGTATTAAATAGGGTGGTCTCAGTAACCCCCATGGAAAAGATGAGTTGAAGGAAGTGAGGGAGATAGACAAGCAGATAGTGAGGGAAGAACATTTCAGGTAGAGGGAATCTGCTAGAGCAGAGTCCCTAAAGAGTTGTAAGGAGGGAAGTGTGGCAGGATTGAAGTGAGCAAGGGGAAAAGTTGTGGGAAAAGAAGTCAGGTAATGGGTAGTGGGGTTGCTGATCACAGTTAGTCATTGTGGGGGTCATTGTGAGAACTTTTACTCTGAGTGAGATGGGGAATCACTGGACGATTTTAAGCAAAGAGATAATATTTGTCGGGTCCAACAGATTTTCACAACCATAGCACCACTGTCTTTTGTTTTGATTTTTTGTTTGCTTCTTGTTTTTTTTGTTTTGTTTTGTTTTGTTTTGAGACAGGTTCTTTCTCTGTTCCCAGGCTGGAGTGCAGTGGTGTGATCATGGCTCACTAGAGCCTTAACTTCCTGGGTTCAAGTGATCCTCCCACCTCAGCCTCCTGAGTAGCTGGGACTACAGGCACCTGCCGCTATGCCTGGCTAGTTTTTTGTATTTTTTATAGAGACAGGTTTTGCCATGTTGCCCAGGCTGGTCTGGAACTCCTGGGCTCAAGCAATTCACCTACCTTGGCCTCCCAAAGTGCTGGGATTACAGGCATGAGCCACCGTGCCCTGCAACTTTTTTTTTTTTTTTTTGAGATGTAGTCATACTCTGTCGCCAGCCTGGAGTGCAGTGGTGCGATCTTGGCTCACTGCAACCTCCGCTTCCCGGGTTCAGGCGATTCTCCTGTCTCAGCCTCCTGAGTAGCTGGGACTACAGGCGCGTGCCACCACACCTGGCTAATTTTTTGTATTTTTAGTAGAGACAGGGGTTCACCGTGTTAGCCAGGATGGTCTCAATCTCCTGACCTCATGATCCTCCCGCCTTGGCCTCCCAAAGTGCTCGGATTACAGGCATGAGCACCACACCTAGCCAACATTTTTTGTCATGACGAGGTGGGGGGTTGCTACTGGCATCTAGTGGGTAGAGGCAGGGATGCTGCTAGGCATCTGACAGTGTGCAGGACTGCATTGGACATTGTCAAATGTCACCTGGGGGATAAAATAGCCCTCAGTTGAGAACCACTGGTTTATGATAATCTAGGTGCCAGATGATGGTGTCTTAGGTCAGGGTGGTAGCAGTGGAAGAAATAGTAAAAAGTGGTTGGGTTCTGGATATATTTTGAAGGTACAATCAGCCATGCTTTGCTGACAGATTAGATGTGGTATGTAGGAGAAAGAGAAGACTCTGGGTTTTTGGCTTGAGCAACTGAAAGATGGAGTTCTGCCTCAGCCTCCGCGTAGCTGGACTCAGGCGCCCCGCCCTCCACGCACGCTAGTTTTTGTTATTTTTAGTAAGAGACGCGGGTTTCACC